AATTAAGAGTAGCAGCAGCAGCAGCAGCAATAGCAGTGGCAAAAGCAGTAGCAGTAGTAGTAGTAGTAGTCGTCGTCGTCGTCGTAGTAGTAGTAGTAGCGGCAGCAGCAGCAGCAGTAGTAGTAGTATCCAGGGACATGACGGTCAACCATCGCATTCCAATTACAGGCTTTTTACGTCAGGGCTTCAGGGCTCTGGGCTAGGGCTGATGGTTTTTTGTCCAAAGGTCTCCTTCAACCTCAGAAGCTGGAAACCGAAACACTAAACGGGGCCGGGTATTCTCAGATCCTAAACTCTCCTTGGTGTCCATTGCACGGCCCTCTCTACCCCGTGCCTTGAAGTCTCAACAGCGTCAACCTTAGCCGTGCGACCGAGATGCCGCCCACGCTCGCTCGGATCGCGCACATGATTAAGCCTTCGCAGATGCTCGTCCAGCAACCTGTCGAAGTACCGGGGGGAGATCATGTCGTCCATCTCTTGCAGCATCTGTTGATTGGTTGGCGGGCGGTCGCCAAGGCTCAGCGAACAATGCGTGTACAGCTTCACCTGAAGGCTTGTTTCTTTGCGGACCTCAAAGACGGAACCTTAAACACTGAACCCTAAATCCTTAATCCCCTTGGAACACTTTCCAAACCCTCTAAAACCTCAGAAAAGCCATCCAGATGGTACCTGACAAGAGGCCTGAGAAGGCGAAGGAAACACACTGAGGCCAGCATCGTCAGTTGCTCTTACTATGGGTCTTCGATGTGAAGGATAAAAACTTAACCCTGTAGGTTTATCGGTCTTCCTAATGTGTATACAGATATAGGACGATATGACGATATACATCTACATGTGTTTCTTGCACTGTAACCTGCTGAAGTCTGCTACATTTCTCTTCCAACACCTCGACGTATGGTACACAAGAAATTACACACTCTGCACTTCGTGCGCCTATCACAGACTACAAACTGGTTCATTGTCTACAGAGAGAAGCGATACCCCCAAGTAAGTACGTTCTTCGGGGTATGGCAGGGAGGTTTCAAGCGAAGCTGAATGCAGACCTGGTCTTCGTTCGAGCTTGTCCACCCATTCGAGCATTGCTTAATTTCCGACTGAGGATTTCCCCCAGTGTGGCAGCACGGAGCTCCCACGCAGGGGAAAGGATTTGTTGTAACCGCGAAGCGCACCAAACGGACCATGGCGTTTTCGTGACTCCGGTAGCGGCGCGGCTATGATTATATTTATTGTTGTTACTGTTGTTGTTATTACTATTATTGCTACTAGTAAAACTGTTCTTCTAACTAGTCTGAATATCCTTATTCCTATTCTTAATGAGAATGCTTATTACTATTTTACTTATTCTTATGGTTATTACTTCTCATAATACTACTATTCTTCATCATCTTAAGTCGCGCTCTTTCCGCAGAACCCACCCCGTCTTCTGCCTTCTTCGCCTCTTCGGGGCCCTGCTGTGGTCTCCAAAGAACCCGCCGTGGATTTTGGCGAAGATGGAAGTGTGGATTTGGGGTTTAGGGTTTAGGGGTTTGGGGTTTAGGATTTTAGGGTTCAGGATTTTAGGGTTCAGAGTTTAGGGTTCTTTTGGGGTTTTGCGCTTTCAAAACTCGTGCTCTCGCCGCTGTCCCGGTCACATTTGAAGATGGTCTCGTGTTGCCAACACGGTTCGGTGCGTTCGCAAGTGCCAAACGTGCTTGGGTATGTAGGACTCGGACTGCTAGGTGCTCTTTCACTGTTCAGGACCTGCTGTGGCTTTAGGGTGCTCCAGTGGACAGCTTTGAACCAGCCGAACTGCTAAATGCCAAGGCACGGTTATCGCACACATCTCCCTGACCAGAGGATTGGGGCCACCCCGGTATTCCACGAGGCGCCGAATGATCGGTGCGTCAGCCGGGTCACCTCGGCCCTATTGGGCTCCACAAGGACTCTATAGGGTTGCTACAACCCACCAGGAGAACCAAAAAAAATAATAATAATAATAAAGCAGTACCGCAGACAATAAACAACCAGGAATCAGAATGACACCCATGTGCATATACACTTCTCCACCTGTTCTTCATGACATCTACTTGTGGATTTCATCCTTGACCTCTTGGCCATAGACACACTTTTCTACCTGTTCTTAAACCTCATCTCCTTGTCGATTTCATCCTGGTATCTTCACCAAGCTTCAGTTCATCAGCCCCTCAAAGACGCCATGGCTGCGTATCGCATCCCCGAGCAGCCTCAGGTTCGCCTCGTCCAGCGCCGCTCCCTGGCTGAGATACTTTCGGTGATATACATCCTATATTACCTTAAGGACCCTAAACTATGGGAATAAGGGTGTATTCCTTGTTATGGGGTTATGCAGGATTTAGATCATCGACCGTACCTTGGGGCTGTAGGGGGTGTTGGGTTTAGAGTCAGGGCTGCTTTAGGATCCTTTTTAAGGGCTTATTAAAGGGGTTTCTGTAAGGGTTTTTGTAGGGTTGTGTAGGGTTTGGTACGAAACCTACATAAATAAGGAACACTAAGGAAGAATATAGACAAACATTCCGGCCTCTACAGACTCACCTAAGGATTAATGGGGTTAGGCCTTTTAGGGCTTCAGCGCCAGGAAACCCCAGAAGTCAACGCCAAAACCGCCCCCAGCCATTAAGCCTGCAGCCCCCCCCTGAACCCCTTACGCCGAAGGTTTAGGGTTTAGATTTAGGACCCTTGCAACGTCCTGGCCCAGGTAGTCCCTGACCAATGTCGGCAGAGTCTGCATGCATCCAGAAACCAGCCGCAGCTGCGCACGCATGTCCTCCTCCGACTCCTGCGAGCGTGTGGGGCGGTGTCGGGCTTATTGCTCAGGGTATCAAGGCTAAAGTTGGAGGTTGATGTACTTGCCTGCTTAAAACACCCTCCTTTATTTGCTGCAACATTAGGATACTTGTAACGAGGGTGGGCAGTCACAAACCAGGGCTCTGCGAGAGGTTAACGAGTTAGGAGCTTAGCTCCGGGATTGCCTCATTGCAGGCATGGACGTGTACCCGAAACCCAATCCCAAAATCCTTCCATCTCTGAATCCCGAAAACTCAAACCCAGAACCTGCCTAAACCCTCACAGTTGCCGTAGCCTCCCCCTGCAAGATCCCATAGTGTCGCAGCAGCTGGTCCACCAGGCGTTCATCCTGCTCTCGGGTAGTGCTGGTGCTGCTAACATAGGGCCTTAATAAACAGAACAGGGTTGGGTGAGTACTGTAGCAGATCAACCTTAATGATCACACAGAGGCTGTTCGGAGTTACAAACACGCACTGGTCAGACCTATTGAAACTTTGAATACAGTGATAGCTGTCATAGTACTAAAAGTGAGCGGAAGACTATGAAGTGTTAGCACCCCCTCATTCAACCCTAAACCCTACATCCTCGACACCATCATCGTCGTTATAACTTTCTGAATTCCTTCAACATGGTGACGAGGGCTTATAAGGGCCCCAGAAGCTGGGAAGGCCTCAGCATATCCATGAAAACCGAAAACCTTGAAGCTAGGGTTTAGGGTTTAGGGTTAGGGTTTAGGGTTTAGGGTTTGGGGTTTGGGGTTCAGGGTTTAGTTATCATTATCATCAATCACATGATCTTGATCTTGAAAGGCGGTGGTGGAGGTAGGCGTACAAAGTCCGACCAAAGTCTATTACAAGCCCTGTTCCAACCGTCTACAGCCCTCAACCCTGGCTGCGCAAAACCCTAGGCCCAGTGCACTAATTCCCCAACTCCAAGCACCTGACCTAAACCCTGAAACCCGAAACCCGTTCCGAGCCTCCCCCCCGGCAGCCACCTCCACAGGTGCCATTATGCTCCTCAGCAGAAGGGCTTCGGATCGGGCGGGTTCTTTTCTTCAATTTCCTGTAGAGGCGTTGCGGAGATATGCCACGGGTTCTAGGGGACTAGAGCTACATAGGGTGTTTTGGGCTTCGCCGTAACCCCAACCATTTCAGAGCCTCCCGGCTTCCGTGCCTTCCTGGGGAGCAAGTTCAGGGTTTAGATTTTAGGTGTTAGGGTAGAGATTTTAGGTTTTAGGGTGTAGGGTTTAGGTTTCGGTTTAAGGGTGTCGGGATTAGGGTTTAACGTTCAAGTTGTAGGTGAGGGTTTAAGGCATACTTTGGGCTTAGTCTGTTTCTTCTTCGTATTGTGGGCTTAGTGTTCTTGGCTTATTTTGGGCTGAGTGTTGTGTTTTCTTCCGGCTTTACCGTGTTGAATTTTTTAGATCAAGAAAACTGCAATGCCGATTCAAACGTGTAATCCCAAGCATAAACCCTAAACCCTAAACCCCTGCTTACCTACCGAGCCCGAGGATGCCGTAAGCGGGCCCAAGGGTTCAGGGAATCTCGGAACACGGCCCGGACTTTGGGTTTAGGTTTAGGGTCACGGCGTGGGGTTGAAGCCTTAGGGTTTAGGGTTTAAGCCGGTGGAGGAACACACTGAAACACCGTAGATGTTCTTTAGGCTACCAAACACTCAGGAAACGAAGGGTCTCATGCGAACCCCAAAGACTACGATCCTTGTCGCAAAGACCACATAGGGAACTGCTCGGCTCTTTCGAAGAAACCAGCGCAAACCCTAAACCTCAAGCCCTAAACTAAAGCTTGCACGCCCGATATCCTAAACCCTTTGCCCCCATACAAACCCTATCACGCCCTTATACACCCCAAAACACCCTATGCAACCCTTACAGAAGACTTTGCTAAATCCTAAAACCCTGAAGCCCCAAAGCCCGGGCCTTAAAGCAACCCTGATCGCCTGAACAGCCTGACATTCCCAGGCACCCGTCGGTGGATGCCGGAGCAGAGGACGAAGTCCCTCCCTGGTTTCGGGCCTTCGAGTTTAGGTTTTCCAGGGGTTTAGGGGTGGAAAGGGTTTCGCCCGTAGGGGGTTTGGGGTTTAGACATGTAGACCGAGAGAGAGAGAGAGAGAGAGAGAGAGAGAGAGAGAGAGAGATTGCGGATAGAGATAGAATGGCCCGAATGAAATCACGCCTTTTTGCGTGCTTCCCAGGCCCTGAGGTCAGAACCAACAGGGCTCGTCCTAGAACGGATCAAGTGACAGGTATCCACAACCAGATTAGCCCGAACGTTCAGTAGCCTGAACTTGAGGAGTAGCAAGACAAGCATTTAGATCAATGGAAAGAGGCAGCAGCAGCAGCAGCAGCAGCAGCGGCACCACCACCACCACCACCACGACCACCACCGCCACCACCAGTACCATGAACAGAGTTAAAAACAGTAGCCATGGTAAGTGCCATTGCCCCTGCCACTGCCGCTGCCGCGATCGTTGCCACTACCATGACCACTATCACTACCACTGCCACTGTCACCGCGACGACGACTACTACTACCATTACGACTGCGACTACGACTACCACTACCA